TCGACATGTCAAACTTAAAGCCCTCTCTGAAATGGCCGAAGTTTTGCGCTTGCCGAAGGGCATGGCGAAACCCAGCTTCATGCTGGGCAACGATACGATCCTTGGCTTGCTCTTTCACCCGCTCCAGTTCCGCCTTAACTTCCTCCATTCGGCGCTTTTCTTCGTTCGCGAGTTTTTGCATGTCCAACCGAAGAGTATCATTGTTGCACCGCTGCACATCCAGTTCGGCCGCAAGTTGGCGATTTTTCGCTAAAGCATCCTCGGCAGCTGCCACAGCCTCGGGTGTTGCCTTATCGGAATCCTCAACCCTTTGCCTCAATTGCACCAACTCGCCGATTGGATCCATGGCGAGGTGGTGCGCGAGTGCTAGTGACCGAGACTGCACCTCGCAGAAATACTTCCATTTGGCCACAACATCGAACTGGCCTAATAACTCGCGACCATGATCCGAAATGGCGTTTGGCCGAACCAGCGACTCGGCAGTGATTTCTTCACTCAGAAAGGCCCTAGACATTATCATGGGGGGCACACATATAATTGTCCCACCCGGGGAGGACGCAAAGTGTTTGGATTTCTTGGTTTTCTCTGGTCTCTCCTCGTTACTTTTTTGTTTCGGCCCCTCATGAGCAACCTCCTTCCCTTTCTTCACCTTTCGGCGCTTGCGTTCTGGAGTGGGCGGGTTTTGGTCATCCTGTACCGGGCGAGGCGTTTGGGCAATTGCCGAACTGCCCACAGCCTCCGAAGCCTTAGCCTGCTGCATCCGGCCAGCCAAAAGATCGCGGATGTTGAACTCATCGGCCCCACTTGTCACCATGATTCCTGCACAAATAACCAAGTGAACATCAATATGAATTTACCTGAAGGCCGAAATAGGGAAGTTACATACCTATCAAATCGTTCTCCCATTGAGAAGATTCAACTACGTTTATCAATGACCTAGTCGGCAAGCGCCTACGGAGTTGAAGTAAAAATTGCAAATCCCTTTGCTCTTCGGCTGTGAGCAACTCATCCGGCACTACATCATACGGCTGAGGGGCACGGGTCCAATACAACGGGAAAAAGCTCTTGTCATCGGCTCCAAAGAAGAAACGCCTCCCGTTCGGACGAATGGTCACTCGGAAAAATCCAGCTTTGAAATTCTTGTAAGATGAAGTAAAGCTGTCCAATAGCTGCCGAGACCCCACTCGGCTAAGAGACACCCATTTAGCCAAATCCGAAGGGCGAGACGAATAAAACGAGAGAAAAAGTAAAGGCGAAGGCCTAATGTTCACACATCGGCATAGGTGTTTGAAACCTTGAAGTTGGGCCCAACTATTCGGGTGTAGTTGGGTCGGTGCCACATTTAAAACCCTAAGCACCCCCATGGTGAACTCATCAAATGGTAGTCTCACCTTAAGATCTCGCAAAAGACAATCGTACATGTAGAATGATGCCATCCTATCGGCTTGCTTGTCCAAGCACACCACGTTCGGATTGGGAAATGTGTCGTTTCGGCAAGCATGAACGCCAATCGGATATGGATTCTCTCTAGCGTTGAAATCTAAGCATTTGGTGTACTCCAGCAAATTGGTTATCATAGTGGTATCTCGGTAACGAGAATAGTATGAAGTCACTTCTCCATTGACCCATTCGTACTCAGGTACCTCGGATGGCCCATACTTTTGCCGATTTGAGACACGTCTAACTCTGGTCGGCACCTCTTCACTCCCACTGGTTGAAGTCTCTTCGGAAGTACTCACATTCTCGCTAAACCTATCCTCGTTCAGCGACGGTATCTCCCTACGCAACGGCCCCGAAGCCCTAGACAACGACCCCTCGGACGATGATGATCGAGCCCCACTCGCCGAAGAGCACTCGGATGCAGTAGCCATTCAATCAAACTTACCAAAAAACCGAACTTGAAACGATCACTCGGCGCGCGCTGCTGGGTCGGACTTGCTCGGATGATACTACTCGGCTGAAAGCAATACGCGTGAGAGGCCCTACCACGCAACGCTATATATAACCACGGAAAAGGGCGGGAAAATTCAAAGATTCAAAACCCTAAACCAAGAGACCTACAAGATCCAACGATGGAGATGGCCCTAACCTTTCGACTTCCCACGTACCTTAACCGCTACACCCTTGAAGAAGATACACCTTCCCCAAGGCTGGGGGGCAAGTGTACTGGCAAGGCCCCACCATATGGCCGACATCCGATCGACACCTGAAAGGCCGAACCAGGTGGCCGACAGCTGATCGGCCACCAAATGATCCATAGGCTTAGATTCTTACTAATAAGAGCCAAGGATTAACCCATAACCAAGGATTAAGAGCTAATCACACCAATAAGCCGATTAGAGGCGTATTACCTAATCTGGTAATCCTGTTACAGGGCCCATGGGAATCCGAGCCCATAAATATCAGTATAAATAGCGCATGTCACGAGGTAACGTCACTGTTCATTAATTATCCTAGATATTCGTGCTTGTCCGGACTTGAGCGTTGGAGTGCCTTTTGCAGGTACCAACCCCCTCACCGGAATATTCGATAAGAACTCTCGTTCGACTTTCAAGATACGAGAAGATTACTAGTGTGCCCTCCAGACAGGTACAAGGGAGAATGACAAAAAAATGAAATAATTATATAATAAATCAACATAATTATTTTTTTTACTTAGTATCACACGCTTTTGTACCAACTAAAATTACCCTAATTTTATCCTAGAACAATCTTACACAAATCTTGACTTTTTCTTATCATATTGATTATCAACATTGTAGCTTTCTCAATATACGTGTAGAAGTTTTTTTTTTTTTTTTTAATACACACTCGTGATACACTTTTGTGCTTTGTGTGATCAGTAATTCCTTTTGTGATCAGGTGTATGTGCTCAAATATAGTGACATTTTTTTTCTCTCTAATTATTATGTTACTTTTTTCTATGTTAATGACATTTCTAAAGTTGTGGATACCGAAGATTTAAAGGGACAAATATTATAAGAACAATTGTACTATATTAATATCAATTCTAAAATGTATCTAGTAAACTACATTATAAATAATCCTCTAACTGTCAATCCAATTACATTAATTAAAACAATTTAGAAACATTGACTTCGTATATTAATAGAAACTTATTTTTAGAAACATTAATTAACGCAAGCTTAATATATATGGCAAAAATAAGTTTACATCATATAATACTCAATGAAATATGACTAAATAAAAAGAATTTCCATATATGGGTAAAGATTACAACATCATAAGTTTCCTCATTTCATTCCGCAAAAAGAAAAAACAAAACAAAACAAAAAAACTTCAAACTACAGGGATTTTATTTTATTTTTACATTTTGTACAAAACATAAGCTATTGTAATCACCCCTAACATTCAGGTTCACATATTCATTGCAAAATCAATGCTTACACCAATTAAAAAAAAAAATATCCCATAGGAATATCACCACAATTTCTAACACCTTCACCCTCTTTCTTTCATTACTAATCTTCACTTGTTGCTTTCAAGGTTTTTCCCTTATTTGTTGAGCATCTTGTTTATAACCACGACATTGACTCTGTTTTGCAATCACATTCTTCAATTGTTTTAACTGTTCTTCATATATACAAGCGAATTTTCTACTCACGTTCTGTGACACTTTCCGCATCAATTCTTCTATATTTGTGAAACATAACCTTGATTTCCTTAATTCCTTCTGCATTGCCCACATGGTCTTGTTCTTCTGCCCAAACAAAGCAGTTGGATTGGTTTCTTATCCGCAAAAAGAAATATTTATGCAACCAATAATACAAACTAAATATAAATCTTACAATCAATAATACTCTAATTATATCTTACATTCTAGTAAGCGCAACACCAAATTGTTTTTCAAGGATTTTTCTCACTTAGTGAGATTAACAGCATGACAATATTTCCTTCACATTTACAACTTAAATCACGTTATATGTAAGAGAAAAACAAATCACTTAAGAAATTATTAGGTGATAGTGAATTATATGATTCTTAATTAATCTTTACATAACATATAATCAAGTTTAATTATTTTTTTTTAAGTTGAAAAACTTAAATACATATCACATATAATTATTAGTTGGGATTATAAACATTTAGTAGTCTTAAATTATTTAATATTTTTTTTTTTCTCTTTTCACGTTAAAGTTCCACATACCCTATCTATATGGCCAATTCCTTTCGGTGGATCACCTTACCCATCCCTCTACAATGAAAACCTAATCCAACCTCTAAAGGACAATACATTGTAATAATGAGTTTTTCTTTAAAAACATGACGTGGACAATAATAAATGACATTTAATGGACACATCGTGATAGAGATGAAAAACAAAATAAAATCTTTTAGAAGACCAAAGAAATATTTAAGCCTAACTTTTATAACTAATTTATTCAGAGGTTTATTTTTATCATCTCAATTCATTAATACAAAATTAAATTTAACTACAAGATAAATATTTGTATTCTTCACGTTGATATCAAATGACTCTCACATGAAGAAAAATGATATGAAGAGACATACGATATAAAATATTCACTTACATTTATTTAATAGCTTAAATTTTTAAAAGAATTTGCTCGCAAATTTATGGACATCTATAACTTGTAACAGAGTGAAACATTATTTTAATTTCTAAAAAAAATTGGATACGATTAAATACATTAGTTCAGCAAAGATGGAAAATTCTTGTTTTCATCTCCAAAAGCTGAAAATATTAATTTAATAATTTCTAAAAAGCAAATGAATATCCTAAAACGGTTAAATTGGTCCAGTTTGTGATTTATTAAAGACAAAAAAAAGGTGATTTTCATCATTCAAATTTCAATGCAAGTGGCAAATATTTAGAGATGAAACAGTAACAATTTAGTGATGATTTAGAGGGGCAACGGCCATGCATATATGGAAGCATGGCAGTACGTCTCTAATAGCACATGCATATGATAATACGAACAGGAGATACTTTAATTTGTTTCATACATGTCACAGAATTGCTAAATCAAATGCAACTTAACTTTTTTTATAATTATTTGTGGATGACAAAAGATTAATATAGATAGGGTACTGCGGAACACCATTGGTTGGTGCTCGTGCTACGACAAAAAAAGACAGAAATCCAGTTGCCGTCCTTGGCAATGACAAACAATAATAATTTATTCAAACAACAACCACATACGTAACAATAACCGCTTTTACAACATCCTAATAATTCTAGAACAAGACATTTATGGAAAGGGTCATGAGAAGAAGAGTGACAGTGACAGCAACGGGCATGGTTGGTCGTGAAGCAGATAGAGATGAAGCTGGAGCAAGGGAAGAAGAAGCTGCAGTCACATCAATGCTCAGCTTTTGGCCCAGCATGCAGTGATGTGGGAAGGAGCATGCGAAGTAGAACTCTCCGGTGCGGTTCAAACTGATTCTCGCTGGCCCCGTATTGAATGATTCCATTGCTTCACTCACGTTGCATGTTTCGAAGCTTTTCTTCGACACTGTCACAACGTTGTGAGATCCTGTTTTGAAGTTGAACACTGCAGAAACAGCTAGTTATAGGTTGATGGTTTTGAAAAGAAGAGAAGCAAGTTAGTGAGGAAGGTTTACCTAGTGTGTCGTTTAGTCTGAATGTGGTGTTAGCTGCGAAGGAGGAATAGAAGGAAGCTCCTTCAGGAGAAATAATCCAACCAGCACCACCACCTACTACATGCTCCGTAGCTTCTGTGCTGTGTGGCATTGTCAATGCCACTGCTACAAGTACAAACAGGATTGCCACGTTAATTTTTGTAGCCATGTTGGTTAAGTGTGTCTATCTCAGGTTGCCCCGGTTTCTGAAGCGAACAACGTTCCAAGTCTTCAAACGCTATAATGTTTCCCTAGGAGGCAGAGGGTTCAGGGCTCTTGCCTTTTTATACAACAAAACAAACATTCACGGATTGGATTATAAAATCCAAGTTCACTACTACTGTTTTAGGTCTACACACTCGGGCTTGTTTTCATAAAGCCCAACTCAGAACGATTCTATACTCAAATCTTATTGCTATACGGGGCTTGCTAAAGCTACCGCCCTAAAATATCTAGTGATTACAATACCTCTCTATGTCAAGTGAAAAATCAAAATCAATAACCCAAAAATAAAAGAAATCACATAAATAGAACTCAATATGGGAAAGAATAGATAAAGTGAAAATGGAAAATGGAGGAAAATAATGTTAAAATTTGATGGTTAATAATAAAGGATAAAATAAAAGGGAAAGTACGATGAAGGTGAGAAAGGTAAAAGAAGAGACTTGACAAATTAGAATAGATAATTAAAACATCAAAGAGAGAGAGAGAGAGACAAAACGACTTATTGCATGTTTGGTTCCGCTTTAACAATGTGAATTTTGACGATAATCAGAAACTAAATGTTGTAGCTCTTATATTTTGTGAGTAAGTTGACGTGATTTCGAATGAGTTTTCATACGTGCATATAATGTGTATAAAATGACTCTTATACCTCTTCACTAAAGCAAAACTTAAATTCCATCAATTTCATTTAATTGCATAATATTAATTTTTAAAAATAAAATAATGGAATGGAAGTTACAACAATACTCTCTTGGGCAGGAAAATTATCTTAAGACACATTATAATTACATGTTTAAAAGAAAATCTTGGTCATTCATTTCTCAGCCATATAAAGCAACGAATAAAAATGAACCACACCACTTATCTCTTCACATGAAGATTATCTGGGAATCATTTTGCAAAGATATAATATTTTTTTGCGAGAATAAAACTCGTTAAAGCACGACTTTAGTATACAAAACAAAGAGTAAGAGACATAGCTCTTAATTTAAATATGTTATATTTATTATATATCACTTTTCCTCTCTGATTGACGCTCACCGACTTATGTATTATATGGTATTTTTATTGCAGATGGGAAGACTCTAACGGTGGCAGTTTTTTTGACCGAAGAAAAATAAAATATGATGGTGTTTGGCAGAGGTCATTGTCAGTACCCAAGACTAAAAGTACATAGGGAATTACTCATAGATACAAACTGATATCCAAAGTCCATGCATTTATTGAATAAGAAAATAATAATAAACTATAATTATTTTTATTTTTATTCTCTCTTCTTTCAATAATGCAAGGAGTAACTTTCTTCTAGTAATAATAATTGCAGCTCGCGATTTCTTCTAGTAATATTAGTTAATGATATAGCTAAACTTGCTCTCTCCATAATTCACAACTTGTATAGATTAAGAAAGCGTGAACATATTTTTTAAGACACTTCGTTTTAACACTTGTATCGGTTTAAATTTATGAAAAATTACAAAATTAAAGAAGAGTCATGATGAAACCCACAAAATTTTATAATTCTTATTAAATTTCAACTGATAGTAAAAAAATGTTTGAAGAAGTGTGTTAGAAATTGTTATTATAATTTCTCTACATTTGTAATCTTGCCTTATTTGGACCTTTTTTTAAGTCCTTGGAATGAAATTCTTATTGCCCATTAAACAAAAACACAAGATACAAAAAAAAAAGAAAGAACTATGGGTTCAATTTGCTTCTGCGTTTCTAAATTCTTTGATTAACAAGTACAATAAAAAAAAAATTTGAAATGCATTGGATAAAATTGAAACTTGTGTGTCCAAAATTTAGCATGTATTAGTAAAATCTGAAAAATCCTAGATCTCATCGAAGAAAGGAAAATGCTTTCTCAAGTGAAATAATTACACATTTTCTGAATATGGGGAAACCTCAGAATTTCTAAATATTGCTTTATGAAATTTGACAATCAATGGTATAATTTTGATCTATATTAAGACATGATGCGGGGCAGGAAGCCAGGAACTGGTTTGCTGAGCAGGTTGATATCTTAAGATCACTAACTCCAGAAAATCAGCAGTATCAAAGAAGATAAAGAGAATACCATGGTGTAGGACCGGGACAAACCTTGAGTATTGATATTCTGCCAAGTGAAATCAAAAGGAAACAGTGAACACCAAGCGGAGAAAATGTAAAAGATATTGCATAATCTGAATACAAAGTTCATTCCAAACTTCTTTCTCAGCAAAATTAAACCCCCAAGTGTAAGTAGTGAGCTCAAAATTACTAGGAGGAAAATAAACATCCATGATTAAACCACATATCAGTTGACACCAGCAATCGACCTTCTCCCTCAGAACAATATAATACCAACTAATATACGAAGTCCCTAATTTCTTAAGGTCTTGGCTTTAAACCAGTGTTGACATTGCAGCTGTAACCAATGGTTCTCATGATGCCTCATTAATTTAGCTTGATCACATTTATGCATTGAAATATTCTAGACACAAAAATTAAATGAAAGGATATTAAAAAAAGAATTGGAAAATGAATTTAAGGAATTGCATCCACAGACAATTGGAAATTGGATACTTCTAAAGAGAACAGAGCAGCTTCCAGACCACAGCCATAAACATCTCTAAAAACCAAAGATTTGACTTGTTGCACAACCAATAATGAGAAACGATCATCATGGTGTTAAGACTTAAAAGAGTTACTTGATGACCCTAGATCGTTTCACATGAGAGCAAAAATAGCTTGGATATTCATAAATCTTATTAAAATCATGGAACATAGGTTTTGGTCCAGCAGCTAGTCTATAGCTAGAAAGGAGGAAAAGTAATATCAAGAATAAAACATTTTCTCATTCTCTTTTTTTTTCCTGGGGTAATTCAAGATAGACGAATACATCTTGAATATGGATGCTTAACCTATTCATGTATCAAATCAAATTGATTTCAAAATATATAAAAGTAAGAAAAAACATATTTTCTTATAGCTCTTCTAAGTTCTCCACATGCCATATAATTATGAAAAGAGCTATATTCATATTTCATGTTTGATAAATGAGAAATAGGTGGAAACCTTGCATGGTTGATAATGTGTGCTTAGGACAGAATTCACAGCAATATATTCAGCGCAACTTACAAAGTTTTTGCATGAAATAAAACTAAATGCGGTAAATTAATTCCTCAATATCATTCTTGTGACATTATAAAGCTGATATTAAAAGGAAAAATAAAGTACATGTAGAAATAATTAAAACTATTGATATGGAAAATCATTCATTGTTAAGGATTTGTTTTGATAAATTTCTCCATAAGAGCTTATAAGAGAAGAAAATAGGAGAAAAAATGAAATAAGTTTCTCCATAAATTAAAATTAGTTTATAAATATAAAATAAGTAAAAACAAGTTTTTGAAGAAGTTAATGCGGGAGAACTTCTACAACTTAACTTATATATAAGCTAATTATATTGTATGGAGAAGATTATTCTTTTTCTCTTCCTATTTCATTTTCCTATAGATGTTTATGGAGAAGTTTTTTATTTTTATTTTTTTATTTATGAATTATGGAGAAGTTTATTTAAACAGATAGATCCTAATATAACTTGTGGGTCAAATTTCTCAATATTTTTTTGTTTCTTCCATTATCAGTAATTTTATTTTATCCTTCTTTAAATGCGGTTATGTTTTGAGAATTACAAATTTCCAAACCCATGGAGTCCAATTATGTACGAACTATCAGTTTTTAATAAGTTGGTCTCTTACAAGTGGCGTGAAAGTTGACATTGTCTGTGCTAGTGTATTATGACAATGCATCAACTTCATCTACTTGGCTTGCCAAACCTTTTAAAGAAATAACTCTCCCCTCCCCCTCTCTTTCAACAAGCTAGCCCACTTGCATAAACTATTAGGAAATACATATGAAGAAAACAGCTTGCAATAAATGGGAAAAGAATTCTAGTTTGATTTTATCTCTCTTTTTGTTGGCTGTTATGAACTTCTAGATGGGCTTAAACAAACAACATAGCATCAAGTGAAATTTATGGTACCTTAAGAGACAAAAGAGAAGAATCTCCAGCATTAAGTCCATGAAATCCAATGTCATACGATATAGTCCCATCAGCCTTGAAGAGTCCATAGTTATTCTCAGATGAATGTCCGGGCTTCTCGTTCTCATTGAACAATGCAAAAATGTATGCCTTCACAACATTTTTAGGCCTATGTGGGGTTCCTTTCCTCTTAGCAAGCCTTTTTCGCAGATTATAATTATATGTCCTTGCATTAGTTACATTTGCTCCGGCTTCACTTTGATCTCCATTTGAGGCCCAGCCAGTCTCGGTAACTATGACTTCCATTTTGTCAAATCCAACGTTCTCTAAAGCAGCATAGGCTGCATCAATCTGAGCATCAAGCATGTTATCATAACGCAGACGATAGATTGGATCGTAAATTCCCTTTGTTGGTTCAAAAAGTGCATAATTTATATCAATATGTTCAGGATCACTTGCATAGGCTAGGAAAGGGTAAGCATTCAAACAGAAAGGAGAACCAATCTGCTGGAAGAACTCCAGTAGTGGCTTCATATACTGCTTAACATTATCTTTAAATATACCAGAGGAGGGAGGGTATGAAATTTCAAAAACCGCAAATGAGTTTGCTGTAGAAATCTGAACCAGTTGATCCAGATGAAGTTTCCTGGTAGCATTATAAATATTTTTAGCAGCACCCAGAAGAACTCCCCACAAAGAATAGTCATCCCCACCCAAAACTTCATTGCCTACAGCAATTCCACGAATGCGTGTGCCAGGGAGAAATGACTGTACATTTTCTTTTACCCAGCTCAAAGCATGGTCTGGATTTGAACTCATATTTTGCAGCTGCCCATTGGGGAGCCCCACTACAATTTCAAGCCCAGTTCCACTAAATGCTTTGAGAACACTGTGATCCGCATCGTAGATTCTAACGTTCCTTATTTTTGCTGCTCTGAGAAGAGTAACAACTTCATCGGGTGAAGGAATATTATTTGCAATCCTCCCATAATTTATACCATAGGTCCCGGTGAACGCTTGCACAGAAGCTGGAAACCAAAAAAGGAGGGTAGAGCTCAATTAACATGATGTAGCCAACACAAAACACATGCTAGCAACTTCTATAGCCCCAACATTATTTGGTCAATCACAACAGTAAGATGAACAAATTGGTACTAATTACAAAGTAGATGCGCATGGAAGGACAAGAGAATAAACTCTAGAAACCTCAATTAGAAAGGCCACCCATAATCAAAACCATAAATTGATAGAATTGGAATAATAATCATGACATGTCCAAGGAACAGTGGTCCCATGTGAAATCAAGAAGGAGAGACATTGATCAATGCAATCATAATAATAACTTGAAAGGAAAGCAACATGTATTTTTAAAAAATTGAAATTAAAATTAAAATCTCTCCCTAAAAGAGAAGAGGGGTAAAGGGGGGAGCATGAAAGAAAGAAAGAAGAAAACTTGATATCATGGGAATAAAAAGAAAGCAACCAAGACAAGAACCTAAAAATACGAGGAAAACAAGAACTCAATTATACTAAACACTAAAGGGCAGAAACACCGATCCGTGATCATACAAAATAAAAAAGATCAATTTAAAAAAAAATAAAATAAAATTGGGGAAAAGGCACATAAAGCAAGTAAACAAAATTGAAATTGCATGTGTTGAAAGAAGTAGATAAAGAAAGCACCTATAGGAGCGAAGAAGAGTAGAAGGAAGGGGCAGAAGAGGCGAGAAATTGTCATGGGGTGAGAAAGAAAGCAGCGATGAGGGGTTTAGTTGGCGAGGAGGATGAAAATGGGAATTGAAAGGCGTTGTACGCAGTGGTTCCTCCTCCTGAGACATGCCATAAGACGAAGAAGCGCGTATTGGTTTTGGTGCGTTGAAGAACTAGAGCTTCAGCGCTTCCATGAGTTGTTGTGGGGTTTTGGAAGTTGAAGAGAGGGGAAAAGGGAAGAAAGTGGGAGGGATATGATTGAGAAAGCAAAACAGAAGAAGCAGAAGAACAACAACGACTCACTAAACTTACTAAACTAAACTCTCATTCATTGGTCAATGCACTTCTTCCTCTTCCTGCGTTTTTGTTTTGCGCTGTGCGTTAAGGTTTTTTCTTTTCCAACTCAATTCTACAACATACCCTTTGCCCACGCGCCCCTTCCGTCACACACCTTAACACTTTTTTTTTCTTCTTACTAACATGTAAGATCGAGCTCTAATTTATCGATAACATGATTATCGTTATTCGAACGAATGTTTGCATATAGCTGATATTGAACATAACTCTTTTATTAAATATATCGTTTCCAATATGGTTAACCATTACATCAACTCATCTTATTCACTTAATGCATCTTATAAATTCAATAATATATTTACAAATTGAATACAATTTTGATTTTATTAAAAATTAATAATTTAGAATATAATTAAATATCTCTTTCTATACTAATAAGATATGACATAATTAATAGATAATCTTAAGTCCTTATTTTTTAAATATGTGATTAAGAATTTAATCTATGATTGATTAGTATTAAAAAAATATTTATTGAGATTAATCCTTTAAATAGATTTAAATATCTTTAAAGATTAATTTTTAACTTTTAAATAAGAAATACTTTGATTTATAAAAAAAAATATATTTTTATCTTTTAATTAAGTAATAAAATTTTCACATTTTTTCCTAATTTAAACCTTAAAATTTAGAGAGAAAAAAATGTAATATTTTTTCACAATATTTTTCAACCACATAATTAAAATCTCTCGTATCATGAACGTGTAGCACACTATTGTTATGTCTTAGAAAAATCATTAATGACATATAAAATTTAATATCACAATAAATGTACTTTTTTTGATTAAATTTTCACCTCTCTCATCATGATACAACTTACTAATTAATTTTTTTTATCAAATAAAAATTGTAGATATGAAATGACACTTTAAGACAATCAGACAAAAATGCTTAGACTAAATATCACTATCCTCTATATAGTTATACATACATCTTACTAATTACATATAGAGATTCTATTTTTCTAGTGTATAATAAATTATTAACACTTTAATAAAAAAATTATTTGATTATTTTAATTGTTTTATTTAAAATTTAATAGACAAAACTTAGATATAATTTTTTAGGTGTGATTGATATTATTTTCCAATTAGCACTACAAGAAAATTGACATACAGTGACACACACCCTATAGTGACACAATACGTGTCACTAAAAATTACTTGTACTCACACAATAAATATAATATATGTTGATATATTGTTAAAAAATATAAGTATAGAATATAATAACACACAAAATATGTTGTTAAATCTTATTCAAAATCAATACTAAAATTATATGTAATTATATGTTAAATAGGTATAGTAACCTACATATATTATATCTATAGTGACATTTTTTATATGTCACTATATAGAATATTTTTTGTAGTATAGCGTTAAAATTTTATCTTAATTATATGCATAATTGTATATTAATAAAATTTGTATTAAATGCAAGTGTATAATATCAAATTAAAACTTCAACTCTAAATGGTAGATATGTACACATAAAAAATTATACTTAAATTTTGTTTGAATTTAAATCTCTAAAATAAGAGGAGATGTATTTTAGAGAACAATTGAGAATTAAAAAAATAGTCAAAATGATTATATATATATATATATATATATATAT